CAGATGGCATGGGCTTCACTGACCCCCTCCCCCAGCACGCCTCAGGCACTTCAGCGATCTGCTCCCAATTTTGGATGAGCAAATGTCTGACTGGAGAAGTTCTTGGGAATGTATTTTTTCCCGTCCACCTGCTCCTCTGGCTTTCTAAAAACGGAAAGAAAACCCCATGGCAAACAAGAGAGGAAGTCTGGGGTTTAAATTACGTGCTGACTGACGCGCTCAATACCTCTACAGAAACTGGGTATCCGCCTTGCTTAGAAACAACTTTTAATCTTCTGTCAGAGAATTAATTATCATCAAACCACAAACTCTAACCTAGAAATGAGAGATGAGGTAACTTAACCTTCTTCTCAACACAGCCATGCTTTCTGTCCTACAATAAATTTCCAGGCTTTCCCTCATCAGGAGAGCACCCCTGGCAGCCGCCAGTCCCCTGCCAGCACTGTCCGTTGTGTGGCACTGGGGGACAAATGGGCAGGGAGCAGATGAAAATGCCATCTTAGTTGTGGCTCTCTGCCTGCTCAACTCCTGCATTCATCGAGGCTGATGTTGAAAGAAAATCCACATTTAGGGCAGATGAGGCTTATAGCCTTTACTGAGTAAATGAGGCACCAACCCCCTGCGTAAAGTCTGCTGGGGAAAATGTTGCGAGGGGCCTGGGAGCAAACAGAGGCCTCTGTTGTAACCTGCCCTGTCAGTCCTCGTGGTGTTTGGGAAGGACCACCCTTCCTTGTGATGGACTCGACACAGACAAAGCTCTCAGTAGTACCCAGAAGGGAAAGCCCAGCGCTGGTGTTGGGTGTGAGCCCTCCTGCAGCAGGGTGCCAGCGCTCCCCCAAAGCTCTTACCCTACAGTACTCGTCAATGGGCTTCAGCCTCTTCACAGCTACGTCTCGGACATGGCTCCTCCGGAACAGGATCTTGCCTGAGGAGGGAAGAGATGAAAGCAGAGGGTTAGGGGCATCGCCTGCCATGCAGGATAGCGCAACAGCACCGAGCAGAAAGGCTGGCAGATGGGGTTCCATCCCCAGCTCCTACCACGGCGTTGGCAGTGCCGGTGGCTGAGCTCAGCAACACCATTATGCCCCCAATGGAACCAACTGCTCCCCATCAGCAAAAATCATGTGACTGTGTCCCACCAGCATCGCTACAAGACAGGATGGCACACTCAGAGGAGGTGTGAGCAGCAGATCCGCTCCTGCCCTCGGAGCAAACTGCACAGAAACACGCTGCAGGACAGGTGACAGAGGGACATGGGGCAATAGCTATCACGGGAGCATACATGGCACCTCTCACAGGTGGATGCTGCTGGTCTTAAGTCTGCACAGGAGATGCAGCACATGGCCAACAGCTACCACAGGCACAGCAGCTCTGTAAAACCTCAGTGACCACTGCTGAAGTCCTGCTTGTGTGAGCCACCGAAAGGGGACCACAGCAACTCACAGGGCAGAGGAAGTTTTTCTGACTTCATCCAGTAGATAATGCAGCAAGTTTGGTTCCCTTTTAGTGATGGTGTTATGCTGGAATGGACTAACACCATGTTATGACTCCCTTCTACTTCAAGGCCGCTTTGGCACGTCCATGCTGGCAGCACAGGGAGCATCACTGGGGAGGGATGAGGGCTCCATCTACACCCCGTGCCTGCCCACTCAGCTGCCTCCCACTGTGGATGCTCCTGCCCTTGCAGGCAGAAAAACCACACAGCCAGCTCACAAGCAAATACAAGCCTGTTGGTGACAGAGCCCATATAAATCTACAGAGGGAGACCAAATAATAGAAGAAGAATAAACAAACTCTTTTTTTTGAAAGTAAAAAAAATATTAACCTCAGTGTCCTTACTGGATGACATTTCTGCAAGCCAGTTAAGATTAAATAAACAACTGGGTTTTGTGTGAAACTAATTGTAACAAAGTTTATCAAAATAATCTAGGAGCTGAGTTTCCCCACATACAAGGATATCATGGAGTTGGTATTTTTTTTGCCTTGAAGGAATTATATCCTTATATCCTTTTTTGGTAGTTTTCTTCCCTTTCTCTTTTGTGCTGTATTTCTCTTAATGTAATGAGACGAGGATAAATTATATATTCTCCTTGTGGTGGAATAAAACAGTGTCTGCCAGCATTATTTAGTCCATGAAATGTCTACAAAAAAACCCCCACTGACATATATACCACCCCCTGTTCCAAACTTCTGCCAACTGCAAATGAGATACTCATCCATAGATCATGGGATAAGAAAATGGACTAGGAAATTACATCAGATCCAAAATCTGAATATGTGACTTTGATTTTTTCATGATTACACAAGCTGAGAGGTCAATGAAACAGCAGTCTTTAACAGTCCAGTAGCAAAGGCTCTAAACCCTCCCAGACTGTCCCTTTTGGTTGCCTTTTCCTCCATAGCTGCTAATCTGGAAGGTGTTAAAGCCTTTTGTTTCAGACAAGTGAAAGTGGTTTATCTCCATCCCCAATTCTGGCAGCAAAACAGTTTGTCCTTGTGGGTTAAAGCCATTTCCTAGTGCCATAAATTTATCTCTCTGGGTTCCCTGTGGTTATCTCATTACAAAGCTGGTGCTGAGCCATCCTTGTAGGATGTGATGCTACACGGTCACAGAGCACTGGGGAAATCTTCAATAGGTGTCTGAGACATCCATCGGAGCTCAAGCAGTTTAGTCAAAAGCTGCTGGAGAAGGAAAGTGGCACTTCCATCTCCCTGCACCGACCTACTTTGGACATGCCAAAACATTGCTGCTTTCCTGCCTGGTAGATGGGGAGAACTACCTGCACTTCCAAAACTTTTCTTATTACTTCTGATAGCCTCCAGGATCACACAGTACTTGTACTGCATAACTCCAGTAAGCTGCTTTTCTGGGGGTAAGTGGTATGGGGGTAGCTATAGAAAAATGACTAGTTCCTTTTCCAGTGCTCCAGAAATGATAGTGTGGTACATCTTGGTGTTTCTTTGCAACTTTGATAAATATACTGCAAAGAGACATTTTGGAAACACTCTCACTTTCTGGCTTTCCTGTTTTCAGTTCAAGCTAGGAGTCGAAAGTCAAACTGGTGACATATAAAAACGTAAAGGAACCAAAGACTTAAACACATGAAACATCTCCTGTAAATGCAATTCAGCTTTCCTAAAAGGACAGTTTACAGGGAGGCCCAGTCTTCAAAGTAACATAATAAATTAAAGACTCAAACATAAGAAACAAGATAAATATAATAAAGAACGTTATATTAAACACAGAGTACAAAAAAGACCCCGGGATATGATGAGTCTTAATTCAGTCCTTAAATGGAGATGGAAAATACCAGGATGACTCTGGTGTTAAGATGAAGCAAAGTCCAGAAGGTGCTTCCATTTTTATCCCTTCAGAAAAAGGAAGATTTTCACTCTGCTGTTGGGAGCTGGAAAAGGCTCGAAAAGGGCTGTAGGGAAGATCTGTAGCTGCCAGCATGGCATTCAAAACTGAGATCTAGAGAAGGCTGAGTAGTTTAGAGCACCATGGAGGTAGCAGTCAACAAGGAATAAAGCAACAATTAAAACAAGGACACTCTGCAAGCACATCCAGTTCTGGTGGGCAGCAAGGAGGGACCTCTTCCCAAATCCTGGGGGTCCTTGGGCAGAGAAGTCTCATTGCCAGGGGTCCCAGATCATCCCTAAGGAGGGACAACTTCCCAAATGCCCAGCTTCTCCTCTTTTCTGGGAGGACAGACTGTGCCAACAGGAGCTCAGACGAATCTGTCACAGCTGACCAGCAGGAACCACTCCAGAACCTGTACGAGTTACTACTGCTTTCTCCAATTTCCCCATTTCTACCAGTCTTCCTCCAAAAGCAGAGCAGGTTCCATGGAACTGGAAAAGGAAGGTAACCTGAGAGACCCACGCTGCAGACTCTACGCTCTCCAAGTGGGTGCTCTGGACAGAGACTCCATTAATGGAAAGCTTTGCCTAACAAGGTAGTTAGGGTCTCCATAAAGAAACAAAGAGCAGGCAGACAGCCAAGCAGCAAGGGCACAGAAGAGCCAGTGAGGAGCCCCCAGGACAGCAGTGGAAGGCGGCATTTCACACAGTGCTAACGTAAAGCAGGGAAGTTTCTGGGTGGCTGGTAGATGCAGCACAGCCTGAGCAATTCCCTTGCAAGGGTGGAGTAGTGGTTTGTCTGCTACTTGGCTTTTCTTCTGGGTCATTTCCACGTCTCTAAGGAAGGGATCTACCTCTATGCGAGCACGTATAGTGCTGCTTACTCTCTCCTGAATTTTACTGCAGCTCTTTTAAGCCTCCCCAGGTGCTACAACCCCATTTTACAGAAGGATGAGAGGTTTGTTAGCCGTGCTGCAGCCCAGCTAAGAAGTGAATGGGCAGTCTGTTTCAGACTCAGATGGGAAGCTATAGGCTACATAGGACGGCACTGCCTCATGCAAGTAATTAATTCACTGATGTGCCAGGCTTGGACTGGGCCAAAGGAGGTCTGGCACATGTTAGGCAGGACTCCGAGGACTGCAGCACTGAGAAAAAAAGATGTGTGGAAGACACAGGGCTCCAGCCCTGCTGCTAATGCAGGATAACAATATTTATTTTATCCTTTTTTCTTTAAAGAAAATATTATTCCTAGGAAATTAATGTGGATAAAAGGCAAAGTATCAGGTTTAGCATTGTAGGGGACATCTTAAGTCATCCCTTAATTTCTCTGTATATATAGAGATAGAGCCTTTAATTCCACGACCACACACCTCTTCTCCTGCAAGACCCCAGTTACCTCCTGTATACACAGCGGGTGCACAAAGTAGCAAGAATAAAGCTATGCAGGAGGCTGTCTATCTGGCAGCTGCTGATTCTGCAAGGTTAAAGGTATCCTCTGAATATCACTTTATTCCTGCATAAGCTTATACTTAGAGTAGCACAGATTTTAACAGGTGACACAGACCACAGGAACAAACAGGCTTAAATGTATCCCAGCACTCTGGTCCTTCCATTAGACTACACACCAGAAGGGTCCACAGACTAATGCTTAGTAACGGTTGAGGATGTGGTTTGTGCAGGGAAGAAGCCCAGCTCCTTGTGGGCTTGGTGACACTGTGGACCATGGTCTGGAGGCAGGACAGCACTGGGCATCACTAGGCAGAGAAGCATCTCAAGTCCCTGAGGGGATGCCTCACAGGAGAAAAAAATTCAAGGGAGGGGGACATACACTATACAGACCCTACAGTCACAGCAGATGCCAGCTGTCACAGAAGCTGCCGCCCTAGACTCGTGATTTGTAAGCTCCAAGACAGCCTTTAAAACAAGTCCTCTCATCACACCTTTCACTGGCAAGGAAAAGCACTGTCTATGTTGTCTTTGAGACCTTCTAGAGATGTCCTTATGATCTTCCCACCACTACGCCAGGGGCACAGCCCCGAGCTGCCAGCTTTGCTGCTCTTTGGAGCCAGGCAGTGAGTGGGAGCTGCAGCAGAGACAACAGGGAGGCAGGGAAATTGCTGTTTAGCTCCCTTCCAATCTACCAGATCCACCTCTTTCTCCTACTCTCTGGTTGCTGAGCTTGAGTCTCCTTTCAAGTGATGTCTGGATGATGGATTGATCTAAGGACACCAGCAGTTTCATGCAAGGAGCGTCTGTCGAAGGTTAGGAAGAGCCCAAACCCACTGTCAAAGGGATGACGGACAAATGCATGTTCACATTTAATCTTCTGCCTCAAGTACTGTCACCCCACTTCAGAGGGTAGTATGTGAATCAAACCGTATGATATTCAACTGCAGACAGCCTGAATAGTAATGGACACATTCAAAACACTGTAATGTCCCATCTCATTTATGTTTAAAAGAGACACGTGCAGCCTCCAGCTACAGAAGCTCCAGCTGTGGAGGCTCCGTCAGTCAGCTGTCTCCTAAGAGCAGGGAAGAGCTCCTGTTTCTGCCTCTTCAT